GATAACCATCATTTTGTTCTCTATACTTAAGAGTCTGTTTCTCCGTTTGCCTCTCTCTCTCTCTTTTTCCTTTTTTCCCCTTTGCTTGTTTGTTTTGTTTCTTAAATTCCACATATGAGCAAAATCAAATTGTATTTGTCTTTTTCTAACTGACTTATTTCACTTAGCATAATACTCTCTAGCTCTATCCATGTTGTTGCAAATGGGAAAGTTTTTATATTTCTAATAGTTGATGACACTAGTGATCAGAAGATGCCACCCTATAAATTGTAATAATTCAAAGTATAGACCTTTTTTATATACCACATCACTGGTACATACTCAAAGGACCACTAGTTTGCCGTGGCTGCCATAACAGAACACCACAGGCTAAGTGGCTTAAACGAGAGATTTGTTTTCTCAAGCGTTGGATGCTAGAAGTCCAAGGTCAAGTTGTCAGCAGGTCTGGCTTCTCCTGAGTCCTCTCTCATTAGCTTGCACATGGCTGCCTTCTTGTTATGTCCTCACATGGTCTTTTCTCTGTGTATGCCCAGCCCTGGCATCTCTGTGTGCATCCAAATTTCCTCTTATAAGACCACCGGTCGTATTGGATTAGGGCCCACCCTAAAGACCTCATTTTAATTTACTTACCTCTTTAAAGACCTTTTTACTATATGTGTTCTTTTGTGAACAGCTTCTTTCACTTAGCATGTTTTCAATGTTCATCCGTCTTGTAGCATGTATGTCTTGCTCTTTTTTATGGCTGAAAGTAGTCCATTGAATGGACATACCACATTTTGTGTATCCATTCACTGGTTTATGGACATAGGTTGTTTATACTTTTTAGCCATTTACAAATAAGGTTGCTATAAACATTCATGGATAACTTCTTGTGTGGAGCTATTTCCATTTCTCTTGAGTATATGCCTAGGAGTAAAACTGCTAAGTAACCTGGTGACTTGATGGTTAGCATTTTGAGAAACTGCCGCACTGTGTTTCAAAGTGGCTGCATCATTTTACATGACTACTAGCAATATGCAAGCAATGTGTAACCAATTTCTCTATAGCCTCACCAACACTTGTTATTGTCGTTTTTATGAAAGCCATCCTTGTTGGTATGAAGACATATCTCATTGTGGTTTTGACTTGTATATTCCCCTAATGATTAATGACGTTGAATATCATTTCTTGTACATATTGTCAATTTGTAGATATTTTTCGGAGGAATATTTATTCAAATTTCTTGTCCATGTTTTAACTGGGTATTTGTCATTTTATTACAGAGTAACAATAGGTTTTTATACATTCTAGAAACAAGTGACTTCTTAAATATATGATTTTCAAAGGTTTCCTCTGCTTCTGTGGGTTGTCTTTTTACTTTCTTGATGGTGCTCTGTGAAATACTAAAGTTTTTCATTTTAAAGTCTAATTTATCTATTGTTACTTCTGCTTTTGGTGACATAGCTCAGAAACCATTGCCAAATCTAAGGTCATAAAGATTTACTTGTATGTTTTCCTTTATGAGTTTTATAGTTTTAACTCTAAGATTTAACTCTAAGTTTTAACTCTATGAAGCATTTTGAGTTAATTTATTTATATGGTGTGAAGTATAATCCTATTTCATTCTTTTGCATGTGGATATCCAGTTATCCCAGCACCATTTATTGAAAAAAATTTTTCTTTCCATATTGAATTGTTTTGGCACCCTTATCAAAAAATCAATTGACCATAAACATGAGGGTTTATTTCATTGATCTCTATGTTTATCTTTTTGCCTTAGGGCTTGATTATTATGGTTTTGTTGTAGATTTTGAAATTAGGAAATGAGCACCTTTCAGGGCACCTGGGTGGCTCAGTCCATTAAGCGTCTGACCTCTGCTCAGGTCATGGTCCTGGGATTAAACCCATAGGTTGGTCAGCCTCCCTGCTAAGCAGGGAGTCTGCTTCTCCCTCTTCCTCTGCCCTTTCCTCTGCTTGTGCTCTCTCTCTCAAATAAATAAATAAAATCTTAAAAAAAAAATGAGCATCTTTCAACTTTGTTCTTTTTCTTCCTCTTCAGGAATGTTTTGGCTCTTCAGGTGGCATTTCCATATGAATTGTAGGATCAGCTTGTCAAACTCTTCCAAAAAAAGAGAAAATGCTGGAATTTGGATAGAGATTGCATTGCATTTCATTGTCAGGTTGTTTACTGCTAGTGCATAGAAACACAATTGATTTTCGTATATTGATCTTGTATCTTGCCACACTTCAAAACTCATTTTATTTTATATTCTTTTTTTTTTTTTTTAAGATTTTAGTTATTTTTTTGACAGAGAGATCACAAGTAGGCAGAGAGGCAGGCAGAGAGAGAGGGGGAAGAGGCTCCCCACTGAACAGAAAGCCCGACGTGGGGGCTCGATCCCAGGACCCTGAGATCATGACTTGAGCTGGAGGCAGAGGCTCAAACCCACTGAGCCACCCAGGTGCCCCTCATTTTATCTTATATTCTTAATCATGATGCTTTATTGCTTACTCTGTTCAAGGCATTGTGACCATAGAAAATACAAAGATAAACAAGATATGGTCTCTGTCCTGAAGAATTTATAGCCTAATTAAGGAAGTAAAGACATAATCCTATTGAGTAAATAATAGCCCATTACAGCAATGTAAAGGGAAGTATAGAACTGCTAAAGGAACATTACAGATAATTAGAGCTCTAGCAAAGTTCAAGGGATGGAGAAATAATTCAAGGCTGGAGAAATCTGGAAAAAAGAGAGTAGGAGAGACTTGGAGGTTTACTCAGTGCCTCTCTTCCTCCCTCCTTTCTCCCCTTTCTCCTTTAATTTTCTTGCTTTTTTAAAATCCCATCTCTCTCCCTCCTCAGCTTCTTTAAAAACATTAATAGAAGGTGACTATGATTAGTTATCATCGTTTCTCAAACCTGGGGGATCATAAGAATCTCTTGACACCCTTACTAAAAACATAGATTCCAGGGTCTCACCTCAGAACTACTGCATCACATCGTATGGAAAACTGCATTAAAAATTTTATCAGGAGGAGCCCCCTGGGTGGCTCAATGGGTTAAGTATCCAACTCTTGATTTTGGCTCAGGTCATGATCTCAGGGTCATGGGATTGAGCCCCACATTGGGCACCATGCTCAGCATGGAATCTGCTTGTCTTTCTCCCTCTGCTCCTCCTCGGGCTCACTCACTTGCTCTCTCTCTCTAAAATGAATGAATGAATGAATACATAAATACATACATAAATAAATAAATAAATAAATAAATAAATAAAATCTTAAAAAAACCTTAATCACACGAGTCTGATTTTCAGCCAAGTTTGAGAATCTCTAGGTAAGATTATAATAATGATATCTACATGTGTAGAATGCCCAGATTCATGCTGTTGCACTTCTGTCAATGATGTTCACAAATCCAGGGAGTCACTTACCTGAGTAAGAGAGTGTGTAGGAATCTATGGAACAACTCTTCCATTAATGAGAAACATCTCAAGGTGCATATATTACTAAGAGGACTCAGTAGTTTCATACATATTTACGGGGATGGCTCATTCCCATAAACAAATTTTATTTTCAGTCTTTGAGAATCCTAAGAATCTCAAAAGATCCTTCTGCGATGGATGACCCCAGAGTCACCCGTAGGATCTACATTCACTATCCGGATTTAATAAATTATAACAGCTTGTCATATTTGCTTAAGATTTTAAAAAAAGATTTTATTTATGTACTTGAGATAGAGAAAGAGAGAGAACATGCACATGCATATGAGCTCCCAAGAGCCAGCAGAGGGAGAGGGAAAAGCAGACTCCTTGATGAGTGGGGACCCTAACTTGGGCTCTATCCCAGGACCCTGAGATCATGATCTGAGCCAAAGTCAGACGCTTATCCGACTGAACCACCTAGGTGCCCCTTGCTTAAGATTGTTTCTAAAAGAAAGAAAAAGTAGTTGCAAAAGAAGACCCTTACATCCCATCTCTTTCCAGATGTAACCAATCTCTGGAAGGTTGTGGGAATCCTTCTCCAGTGTTTTTATATTTTTAGTACACAACATATAAGTTTTGGGTATTTAGATATGTATATAAATCGTGTACATATTTTTCTGAAACTTTTTAAAAATTATTTTATTAACATATAATGTATTATTTTCTGAAACTTTTTTTCCAACATCATGTTTTTGAGATTTATCCATGTGATTCTTGTAGAGCCACTCCATTCTTTATAATATAGCAATATTATACTGTATAGTACTGCGATATAGTCCTGTTGTAGACATATTTTAGGATCTATTATGAATGAATATTTGTCGAGTGTTTTGCTGTTTCAAATCATGATGGAATTAATGTCTTTGCATATGTCTCCTTGGGTTCACATGTGAGAATTCTTCTAGGGAATATATCTAGAATTGAAATTACTAGAGAATAGAATATGCACATTGTCAATTTCACTAGACTGCTTTCAAGATTACTCTCCACAGTGGCTGAACTAATTTTTATTCTCATCAGGGATATGCAAGAATTTCTCTTTCCCCTGTGCTAACCAACCTTGTCAAGCCTTTTAAAAAGACACATATCTGGGCCATATTTTCCGATTCTGGCAGGATAGCTCTTCAGCATAGTTTGAAACAGGCCACAGATGACACGATACATAAGTATCAGCAAGACCCTCTGATCCATGTATGTATATCTATATGCACAGTGTAATATACTGATAAGTGAATTGGCACTGTGGGAGCACTTAGTGTTTTGTTGGTAACACCCGTCTTGCTACATTTAGATCCTTGAGGAGAGAGTAGAAAAGTACCGTTCTCCAGCATACTTTACATTTTGAATCAAATCCGGTTATGTGATTTAGCAGTCCACAGGGAAGTATTTAATCTAAAATCCCACCTCTGCTGGCGTGGCTTATGGTGGCGGTGGGGGTTGCTTCATAGATGTTTTTCTGCCTCTTACTAGGTGTACGGCTGCATGTCAGTTGTCAAGGCATGGATACGTGCCATTGCTTCGGGCAGGGTGCGTGTCAGCAATGTCTGCCAGCTCGCTGGGTGGTGTCACTGTGAGGATCGTTTGTGGCTTTTTCAAAGCCCTGAGGAATCTGAGAAGCAAGTGAGGGAATGATGCATGAAAACAAAAGGCAGTGGAAAGAGTGACCAGTCAGGAGGCTCCAGCAGCTAGAACGCTCCGTCCTTGTTATTACTGCTTCGTGAAAATGCCACCAGTGTCCTGGCAAAGTCTGGAAGGTAGAGGCTTTTTGAGAAAACAAAGACAAGGGATGTACCCTTTGCGGCTAGAATCTGGTTCCCCAGCTTCCCTACTTTCCAGTGGGAGCTGCAGGGGGAGGACGGGAAATCCTCTGTCCCTTGGTGGGTTTAGGCTGGTCTTTCCCTGTCTCTTGGCTGCTTTCCCTGAGTTGAAGCAGCCAGCTTTGGTCTCAGAGGCCTAGCGAGGCTGGCCTGGGAGGGAAGTTGGGCGGTGCCCCAGACTCAGCTATTCCTCAAGAAATGATGTGAAGGTCACCACCCTAGGGGAAGGAAAAGGGCTTCCGCCATATTTCCCATTCAAAGAAGTGCCTCCTCATGTTGGGCAATGAGACCAGGTGATGCTCTCATTCCTTGCCTGCTTTCTTTTGAGAGCTTCATGTGCTGGAACCACACACTCAAAGGGTAGCCTGCCTTGGTTCTCAGAGGTGAAGTAGAAGCTGAGGAAAGGTAAGAGAGTTTGTTAAGTTCATGGGATGGCCCTTTGGACTAATCATTATTGGACTTGTCTGCAGTGAACCTCTGCTTTCCCTCTGGATCATCTCCTTTCTTTGTCATACAGAGTACCTAGATGCAAAATAGGGAAGTACTCCATTTTCTCTTCCTTTCTTAAAAAGTAGCTATGGGGATAATGAATAAAAATAGGTCTTTGTGAATACAATAGGGCAGAGCTGAGGGTGTGGTTTGCTTGGCAACAGCTCAGGCAAAGTTATTTTTCTCTTGGTCCCTGAATGCTCCTGACATTGCCTCTGCCTGATGAAGTCCTAAAAGACCAGCTTGGCTGTGACTTTTTTTTTGGTGAAACTCCCATCAATAGAATTTGATCATTCCCTTCTTTCTGGTTCCACAGCATTTGCTTCTTATAAAAAACATTCATCAGGGGTGGCTGGGTGGCTCAGTGGGTTAAAGCCTCTGCCTTCGGCTCAGGTCATGATCCCGGGGTCCTGGGATCCAGCCCCATGTTGGGCTCTCTGCTCAGACGGAAGCCTGCTTCCCCCCGTCTGTCTTGTCTCTGCCTGTCTTTCTGCCTACTTGTGATCTCTCAAATAAATAAAATCTTTTTTAAAAAATTCATCAAATTGTGTGATAATTACTCACTTGAGATCATGCCTTATTCTTTGTGTATATGTGTGTGTTTTCCCAGCATTTATGACCCTTCTTTAATATAACAGTCCTTTGATAAGTATTGACTGGATGAACCAAAGTTTCTGAAAAAACACCAACACCAAGCTCTTATATTTTCTTAATTATCCTTTGTCTTTTCCTCCTTAGGGTGAAACTGTGTAAGTTTCAGCTCCACAGAGAATGGAGGGCATCCTAAAACTAGATGCATTTTTTTTTTTCTTCCCTGAGGAATTGCTCCAGCAGGAAAGGGTGTTTCAGATACATCATTCAGTTACAGGTACAGAAATTGTTTCTGGGAAACACTGCCATTATTATCTCTGAAAGGCAAGTCAGTGGAAATTTTTATTTTCCATTTACAGATGGACAAATGGAGGCTTTCTTTCTCATTTACCAATTACAGAATGTCCACTCTGTTCAAAAGTACTGTGCTAGGATTTTCATGGGATACAAACATGTACAAGACACAGTTTTTGTTCTAAAGAATGTCATAATCTAGTTAGGATGAAAATCTATTAGTATGCAAGAGTAACAATAAACTTGGGAACATTTAATTTAAATCATATGAGTGGTCCAAAAAGAAGTATCAAAGGGAATAGAGAGAGGGAGGCAAAATAATTTCCAGCCAAGGTCATCAGGAATATCATTGTGGTCAACCCAGTATTTGAGATGAATACATTTTTGTGCTGGTTATTCTCCATTTACCCTCTAATAGTCCCTGTGACTGCCATAACAGACCACCACAGACTGGGTGGCTTAAAACAACAGAATTTTCGTTTCTCACAGTTCTGGAGGCTAGAAGACAAAAATCAAGGTTTGGCAAGGCTCGGCTCCCTCCCTGGGCTCCAGGGCAGAGTCTGTCCTTCAACTCCTCCAGCTTCTGAGGGCTCCAGGTTTTCCTTGGCTTGTGGCCACATCACTCCAATTTCTGATCCTGTGGTCACATTGCTACCACCTCTTCTTTCTCAAAACTCCCACAACTTTTCTTTTATTAGGTCATCTGTGATTGCATTTAGGGCCCATGCAAGTAATTCAGGATAAGCTCCTCCTCTCAGGATCCTAAATTTAGTAACATCTTGTGCCATATAATATAGTATTCTTGGGGTCTGGGATCAGCATGTGAATGTATTTTTTGAAGGGGCCACTAGTCAGCCCCTGACAGCCCCCATCCTTCTCTGTCCTGCTCTGTGCCCCCATGAGGCTGTTATGGTGATATGATCTGGACTCCACGTCATGGTGGCTTGATGTTGGGTTTGGCCAATGGGAGTCATTAGCAAGTATCAGAGGGCTGGGAGGAAAAGCGGTTGAGGTATTTCTTCTTTCCTCCCTGCTTTAGCACCATGGTCTGATAGCAGCTATGGCCCCTTCAGAGCTGTAACCTCCTTCTGGACTCCTATAACATTATTTAGGCCTGAGGTTCCACTCTTGCTGTCCTTAGGTGCCTCAATAGTCCTCCTAAATGCCCCCAACCCCACCTACATCCCTGTAAGTAGTGTCTTCATCAAATTATTTTCAAAACTCCAGCTGAGTGTACCTTCAGTTTCCTGCCACAATCTTGCTGGATACAGATATGGAGAGGCAACAATTTAATTTCCAGAACAGACAGACTCAGGGTGCTTCAATCTAAGTTTAAGTAATGACCAGTGGGAACTGGAAGGTGATTCAGCACACAACACGGCCATCGCAGCCGGGCTATCTTGTGGCCTCTTCCGCAGTAAATATCTGTTGCTCTGTACTCTAATTATTTATGACTGGGACTCTGCTTCTGCTGCCCTTGCTGCTAAGTACTTTCTATTCTTTTCTCTATCTTGTAGCTCCGATTGCATCATGGTTTCTGAGGCCATGTGACTTCAGTTTTCTTCCTTCCCTCTGTGGATCTTTTAGCTTCTGCCCATTGCTAACTGCTGACTCCCTCCCTATATTTCATATTCAACTCCCCCAAAGGACCTGACTGGGTTGGCGGCTCACCACCAAGTACAGACTGTTGCAGAACCTTTCTTGGCAAGCCACCACATCAGCATAGGCTTATTGCCCTGGTTAGATACCTGCTCCTGGAACAAGTGGTTTTGTTTGGAATGGCAGAGTAAGTTGATAAATAATTTGGTTTCCTGACTATTAGACACCCCGAGGGGGTTCTAGATGGGGCAGGTATTCGGATGCTTTTAGGCGGTTGTCAAAATCCAGAGGAATTTCTGTTTTCCAGTGTAGGATGAAGGCTAGTTTTGAGCTATTCATTCAGAGTCTTTTTATGGCCAAGGATCCTTTTAAATATTTTTATTTTCTTCCAGATAAACTGCACCTTTTTGGAGGTTAATACACAAATTCTATCAGTTACAGTGATAAGACTGGAATTTATTATCAGCTATGATTATCTTCTAGAATACCCTCTTGGACCCTTGGACTCCTGGCTTTGAGCCAGGAGAATTTAGGAAGTGGTGGTTCCACTTGGAGAAATGGAGCCTGAAAATCTTAGCCTCTGTTTTACAGAAAATAGAACTCAAACCCAGAATTAACGCTCATGTTTTATTTAGAAGATGCAATGCCAGGGCAGTAAGAGTGAGAGAAAAAGGGAAGGGAGACAGAGAAAGACAGGAAGCACTGCAAGATGATGTCTGAAATATCTGAACTATGACTTGTGTGTCCGTGCAGAATCCCTCCAGTTACTATATGGTGAAACCATGCTCGGGTAGGTTCTTGTGAGGGAGAAAGGAAAAGGAGTCCATCTTTGTGGTTCCCTCCCATTTAACCACTGATCAAGATTCACCACACCAGGAGTTACGTTCCTCACACTTTTAGGTTATATAATATGGTCCCACTGTTGGTCTCTCAGCAAGCCACATGCTCTCTAGTATGGCCTTTAATCCTGGTTGGGGAGCAGAGAGGGAAACCAGAAATTCGTGGTGTGACACTGGTGAGGCTGGTCACTCGGTGGCAGTCAAGGTGAGGATGAGGCCAGGAAAGTGGCAGATAAGTCCAGCTTTAGGTTTGGGGCCTACATGGGCCCAAGGAAAGCAGGTCAGTTGCAGCAGAGGCAGAGACAGAGTAAGCAAGGAAATGATGACAAGAGAATCTGATGAGGCACATAAGATGTGTCTGATATACTCAACATTACAAGGAAGGATATGGCTGAAACTTGCAGGTATGTCCAAAAGGCAGTTGGAAATTCAGAACTGGACTACCCCCAGAAAGAACATGTTTTGAGAGTTACAGAAGGAATAACCATAGAGAATTATATTCCCGGAGAGCACAAAATAAAGGAAGAGGAAATAGGCAGAGCTGTGCTTAAATTGCAGCTGTGTGTGATCTCGGGCAATTTTTTTTAAAAAATTATTTATTTATTTGAGAGAGAGAGAGCAAAAGTAGGGGAAGGGGCAGAGGGAGAAGGAGGGAGAAGCAGACTCCCCACTGAGCTGGGAGCCCAACAAGTGGCTTGATCCCAGGACTTTGAAATCATGACCTAAGCTAAAAGCAGACGCTTACTTGACTAAGCCACCCAGGCACCCTGATATTGGGCAATTTAACTTCATCTTTTAAAGCCTTACTTTCTTTATCCATAACATGGGGATGATGATACTTTACAGTTCATGCTTCCGAAGCATTTGGCACAGTGCTAGGCATACAGTAAATGCTAGATAAACTAGCAATTATGATCATTAATAGCATTCCTGGGTGACTGTAACCTTCCCAGGTTTCTCTTCTCCAGACTGACTCTGTC